TTGTCTATAATTAGTTCTCAAAAGTTACCTATAATTTAATCTTCACTAGGATATGCTGAGGCCTACTGATTCAGAGACTTCTGCTTCACTCACTGGTTGTCTTGACCTGCATTTGTTGGTGTGTATGGGATAGAACGGCCAGGTCATCTGCGAAGTCCAAATCGTCTAGTTGTATTCAACCTGTCCATTCCGTGTCTCTCCTCAGATGTGGAGGTCTTCATAATCCAGTGAACCACCAGAAGAAAGAGAAGTAGGTAGAGTAATCAAACTTGGAATGCTTTTATCAGCTGTCCTCCATGCACTATTTTGCAGTTTAGTCCGTCGTATGTATTCCGTGTGATATTGATCATCTTTTCAGGTGTATCATAGTGTCACATAAGGTTCCATAAAGTTCTCCTATCCACACTGTCGAACTCCTCATAATCGATGAAGTCGATGTTATATATATATATATACACTATATTCCCCTTCTAGTTTCTTCGTCGCATCATATAGTTGTTTCATATTTCCTTCTCTTGCAGCTTTTTCCACCGTCGTTGTCAGTTCTTCAATGTATTTCTGCTTGTCGACTTTAATGCTCTTCTTCAATTGCTTGTTTGCTTTTGTGTGTCTTGACTTTCTCTGCTCGTGTTCTGCTGTTTTTAATTGCTGTGTTTTTGTTCTTCCTTTCTTGAATCTTGCCCAGGATTTCTATAGAGTTTCATTCCTTATGATGATGCTTCTTGAGGCTCAGAACCTCCTGATATGTTGATGTCAATGCTCTGATACCTTTCCAGTTGTCCTACACAGTGGTTTCTTCTTATAGTAGATCTTGTAGGGCTTGGAATCTGTTGTTGAGAGCTCTTTTGAATTGTTTGAGTTTGTGAATATCTCGAAGGAAGGCTGTATTGAACTGTTTGTCCAGTGCTTCTTCAACTTCAATGTAATCAAATTTTTACTGAGATCATGAACCAATCAATGTTAAACCACAATTGAAAACCTGGAAGTAGTGGATAGCCGTTTCATCCAAGTATGGGACTGCTTATCAGTGCACATTCACGATCCCTTACGCCGGACTCGAACCCAAGACCTTTGGTCTCGCGTGCGAACGTTCAACCTCTATACCATTGGGCAGGGATCCAATGGTGTTAATGTCTATTTTCAACCAATCTACTATCTTCAGTTGTCTTCGGTGGGTAACTGCCCTACACTCGACACGGTTGAACTCCACTGTTTACGGCTTCTCACTGGAACTCCGAGACTTACCTCTGAAAGCTAGTCACTAGTGAGCGAATGATAATTATCATGATCTCAATAAAAATCCAACAACCTTCACAACTTCATGCTGGTACGTTTATCACGTAATCAAATGAAAGGGATATAGTGGACAACCCTGAAGAACACTATTTGAGGCTGACTATACGGTCTTACTGGACTAGTAGGTTGCGATATGAGTGATTATATACTTATTTAGTACGCCTTTTAGTGAGAAACGCTTCCTCAGAATCACTCCGTCAACAGAATCGAACTCAGGTGTCATTATCCCCATGTTCTAGAACTTGAAAAGTGATCAGTTATCTTCCCATCAAAATTCAATTGACTTTCTTACTAGCTAGATAACGTTTGCAGATTAAACACAACCATAAACCTCTACAATGAGTAGTTTTTCATCATGGACTTATCTATTTTATTGTCAAATATGTTAGTTATATCAAACATCACTAATCTATTTTACACCTATCTTTAATAATTTAAAATATCCCCATAGACTATTCAAAAGTTTTAAGTACATAATTATTGTATTTCACAATCAAAATAAAGTATGTATGTGTATACATCTTGTTGTGCTAATAAAGTATGGCAAGTTGGACCGATGCACAGATATGCCCGATCCTACATTGTAACTGACTGAATGTATATCTTTCTTCCTACCAACTAATTCTTTCTTTTTGTACTATATGCTTATATATAATCTTTCAATGAATGTAGTGTTCATCTTGTTGTGCTAATGAGGTATGGCAACTGTGACCGGTGCATATATGTGCCCGATCCTACGTTGTAGCTAACTGACTTAATGTATGTGTATAAATTATCAGTGAACTATAGAAAATATTTTTGCATCATTTACACTTTCATTTTCTTTATTTCTTAAAAAAACTTGTTCTCAAGGTTCATCCACTTGTTGGTAGTCGTAAACCATCAGTTAAATCTATCTCAGGTACAAATCATCATCATCACCACGATTCATCGACTAAACTTACCAATCAATCATCATTAACTAATTCAACAACATATGGATTAAATAATTCACGCAAAAATAATACACGTCAACGTGATCGTGTAAAATCAAAGAAATGAGTATTATTCATTTCTATATAACATTGTTATATTTGTATATTGAATACAGCTTTCTCTCTATTTATATCATTGAAATGTAGTATGTTTCGTTAGTGATTCTTACGACTCGACTTACATGCTTATTTCGATACATTTCTAAACTGTTCAAATTCTTCATGTACATTATTATTATTATTATAGACCCTTAAATATATATCCCTCATAAAGTTGATTTTATTTATTCGAACACATAAGTATTGGTACAAGAAGAAGAAAGTAAAAGGTTACAGCAGGATCGCCACTGGCTTCTATTCTGAGCCATATCTGATAACGTCTCTAGCCACTGTGTTGCACCATCTCCAGGACCCCAACCAGAGAGTCGTGAAGAGGACCAACACAAGCCAGCGCTTTTCAGCTTTCTTTCATATCCCGACACCATATCATACACTGACCACCTCTCCGCTTTTTCCATTCAGTCCCAAAGTCGGCAAATAGTGCACGACGTGGAATCCTCTGGGACGACATTCGTAGAATATGTCCAAGCCACCGAAGTTGGTGTTTCAAGATGGTGATACCAATATGGAAAATACTTTTCTTGCTTCGATTAACAGTCAAACGATTCACATTAAAAGTTGATATGAATAATCATTTCTAATAAATAATAGAGATCGTTTTTTCACATACTATTCCGTAGTATGAATTTTAGAAGAAACCAAGCATTGTAAGGTGATTTTGCAGTATGTAGATGTGATGTTTATTCACTTGGTAAGTCTACATGATAACACCAATCACTTTCTTCTGGTTTGTGTAATAATGAATCAATCGAAAAACAAAATAGATCATCGATATTCTTAGAAAAGTTTCCATTACTGACTGATTTCAACTAATGTGGACACTTATTGAAAGCTAATAGCCATTGGAGAATCAGCGGTTACCTTTATTGTATCAAAGAAATAAACTGAATAATGTAGAGTTCAGGGTTTTGAATGTAAATTGCAAAATGTTCTGCGGTATCAAGACGTTTTGTAAAGATTAGACGTGCTATTTAGAATAATATAACTTAGTTATGATTCAAAACTCATCCAATAATACACTTAAAACATTTGACCACACAGCGACCCAGTTAAGGAATAACAATCTGTATACTTCAGTCATAAGTGATACAAACGAGAGTAACAATTAATTAGTGATAAATTTGGAATCCTAAAATGAGACTTATGGATCAAGCAAGCGCCTAGAAATAATATAATGATATTCTCTATAGTTATGCCTCCGCATTATTTATGCGATTATATCTAAACTGTCTGACATCTGTTGACTCAAAGAGGTATATATCCGAGGATGTAGTCTAACACTAATTACGGCTGATGTGCCTTACTCCACAGAAGCGATATCTTTGAAAGCGTACTGCTTTATCCAGAAATAGTATAGAGTAACCGGTTTGAAAGGTTTTATTTTTTATAACTAAGAGCACTGACTGTAGATAACTCCGCAAATGACCTTCGTATGCTAAGCTTACTGCTTAAATGCAGACAGCACTCCCGAATTTCAGTAGCTGGGTCGATTATTGCAACTTTATTGGCTTAAAGTCGATGTACTAATAATAACAATGTAGCTCAATTACAAAGTGTAATTTTATGTTTCTGACCTCGAGTCAGATTTTGTGACTACAAATAATAATATTCGCTGTGCAAACCAAAACGAAGATGGTTTGCAATATATGGTCTAAAATTCTTACGTTTATAACAACTATGTCGTTGCAGTATAGTCTTTTTCTATCGATATTGCATCATAAATATAACGTGAAATCCTGAACTACTTACTGATGTTCAAAATTTTTTACTTCTGACGGCGCGGCGAATACGACACACACGAATTGGTAGACATAGATAATAAGAAATACTTGTTTACAAATCATTATGATAATCTACATGTTAAAGTACTATGATGTATCCTTCTTAAATTCGATTATCTTATAAATATTAACGCGAATTAATTGGTACAAATGAGTAAATACTACCTCACTCTATTTATTTATTTGAACACATAAAGTCATATAAAGAAGCACTTGATTTGTGTGCGGGTTATGATAGTACCCGGATGCCAAGACCGAAACAGGTGGTTTTCTTAGGAGCCTTCGACCTAAAGGTCTGATCCACAAGGCAGTGGAACAACGTCAGAAAATGCAGTCCCATGGTGGCCGATGACCAACAACAGGTTCATATACCATTTGATCCCTCAGGATCCTGGGGCTCATGTCCACCATTGGTTTGGAATCAGAGTTTCCCAAATTCCCCCGGTGGATCATCCATATACACCAATCCGGTTAAAGCGCCGCACACTTGCTCTTCATCCTCTCAATTTCGTAAACAACACCCCCCGCCACGAGAATGCAGTGGGTAGGACTTCCCCGGCAATGACTGTATACGCGTGACTATTCGAGAGAGAAAGCTGGCTTTCTTAAACTCACAGGAATACAACAACTTTTTCAGCTGTTTCAAAACATCATATATTTCGACTAAATGCAATAAAATCCAACTTGAATTGATAATAGTATGTATATATTTGATTATAAAAGACAGAATTAGGGAAACTCTTTGTAATATATGTGTGCATTTGTGACAGAAAGAAGCATATCAATAAGAAAAAGACAATTAAAAGGTAGTGTTTCTTTTTTTATTTTCGCAGAATGTACAAATTATAGGATAAGCTGTTCAATGGAAATAGAGGGTCGTTTGAACTGAACCTGAAAATTTTAAAACAAAAAAACTATGTAATTAAGCAAACAAGCGTTCTTTATATGATCACAAATCTTGGACAAACATACCTTATTATACCCCAAGAATGTGTGATCATTTACTTGAAATCAGTTGCTTAGCTAATTAATTCACAAACAAGATCATATTTTGTCCTTTGCATAGATAAGAACGCGTATATACTACTTTAACACTAAAGTCAACGACATATGTACTATTCTTCGTTTTTTTTCAATTCAACTGCTTGACATCGTGTTGTGTTATTGAGTCTCATAGTAATCGTAGCATACACAATCAAGTTCAATACATACAAGCACAGAAACAATAACGGAAAGAATACTAAGCCGAAGCATCTGATTGAATTTAATGGTTTAATACTCTACTAATAACCATTTATCAAAAAATGAATAACACTTTTGAATCCCAAATCATTGGTCTCCAGTTCAAACAGTTATGTACAAGGGATTAGGAATGGTTCTACATAACATCTAGTCACAATTCAGTGGATGATATTGAATAGAAGATAATCGAAATATCCATCGTATGCTAATTTGTCTTGTTCAAAACGAACGTAAACAATACAAATCAACAAGATATCGATCTGGGCATCAGAAAATAGCTTCAGTTGAGTAGGATATATTTTTTTAGCTGTTAAGGGGGATTTATTCATTTCACAAGAAAGAATAATCATTTCAGGATTTTATCTGGTTGGCAAGATTTCTTTCTACAGGACGGAGTTGCCGACCCCCCCTCTTCTTTACCTGGGCTTGGGACCGGCAGTAACTCTATAAAAGGTACAGGTGGATTTCATAGTAGAATGTTATTAGTAGTAATTTTTCACTCTATATCTTTAGGTTTTTATACTAGGCATAGTTTGACATAACTGACTGTAGGATCCAGCTGACGAGTCCCAAATAGGACGAAACGCGCGTCCTGGATTCCACTGCTAGCCACTATCCATCATTGCTTACACAAAGCTTGTGAATTAAGGCAATATCGAGGCATACGCACAGTATGCTAATAACAGACTGCTCAATCGCAGTCTTGAACCTCAATGGGAAGATACAAGCCAAGCTATACCAAGTAGGATTGTAATTACTTAGTTTTTAATTACCCTGTTGTACGCAGCGAGTAAGAGATGTTTCATAACGTTTATTAAACATAATGGTCGTGTGACTAAACTAAATTATGTAAAGAACGACTGTTGGTGGTGGGGGGAGGAGGACAGTGACAAATAAAGCAGAAAAGTTATAAGAAAAAAAAGGTTAACTAAGGAGAAATATTTACATTTTTTTATCCTGAAGGAGAAGCTTGAATAGTTGTAGCTGTATGAGATAAACTTGAATTGGAAACAGAAGTTGTTGAATTAGTTGTATTTTTTAATTTTCGAATTTCTTTTGTAGCCCAAACTGCTAAATTTTTAGTTCGAGATGCTTTAGCACGTCTGCCTCTTTGTAAAACAGAAGCGATTCCATCAACTTCCACAAGTGATAGAATACTACTACCATAAGCAGATACAAGATCACTACAGAAATGAATAAAATACAACATTTATTGAAATGAAATAATAATAATAATAAATAGGCATTTGAAATACCGAAACTATTATCTGTTTACTGATCTGGAATACCTTAAGACCTACTACTTACGAGTCTTTAATTTTGGTTTAAACTACCCAATTGAGTATCATCTTGTTATAACTTACTATGTTTGATCACTTAGCTTTTCGAAGGTAAGTAGAAACATTCCTTCATCTGAACTGCATCTAGTGAATGCGCAGACAGACAATGTCCAAACGACTGTTTGCTATACTTTATACTGGAACTACGACTATCTATATCTTAAACCGATAAAATAGCTTTTCTTAATTGTGACTCTAAACAACCCAGGGTTAATTCTATGAGAAAGTATAAGAACCATATGGATTAGTAATCTTTTCAAAGCGCAGGTTTATAGATGCTTGAAGATTGATATTATTTGTTGTAAACACTGATGTGTCCAATAACTGTTACAACCAATGTAACAACATTGGTTAACGTCGATTCAATCGACCGATCAAATGCCATGAAATAGCGTTAGATACTATACTTATTTGCTGTATACCTAAACAAAGTAATCAGAGTTTTGTATGGTACGATTAAATAAATGTAGAATATAGAGCATGTAAGTATAAAACCTATTTTGAAAAAAAAACGAACACTGTCTTTTAGAGACAGATGGAGAAATTCACGAATGGATAATATTGTAATGATATAATGAGCTATATTTATGAGATAGGTATTATCAGTTTACTTCAATCCAATAAAAACATATTCTCAATAATGTTTGTTGGATAGATAAGGTTTAAAGTAGCGTTTGTAACTATTCTTGGTGAAATAAAATGGTATTCAATTTAATCAGCTTTTTTTTCGAGCTTTGGCAACAAGATCAGCTACTATTTTAACTCCTCTTCATAGGTTATATAAGGCACCAACTAATTGTATCCAGGATAATGTACATGACGTCATAAGTTTGTCATTCATGAATTGAAGTGTAACCGTCTAAAGAAATCCTATTCATTATGTTAAATGGTCAAATAAATAATTTCACAACTCTACGGAACATTATAGGTGATAATAATTGAACTATGTTGTGAAAATGACAGTCCTTACCTATACCTATGTACACAGTATAATGTACAACAAAGTTGACTCACCCGATCAGTCCACATGAAGCAGATATAAGATCTTCAGTTGTGATTGAATCTGCTCCAATATGTTGGATAAATGACAATATGTGAGATACATGACCAGCGACAAATTCCAACGCTGCAGTAGATTCTAAAATGAGAGATAAATTTTAAAAAACCCATTAAAGAAATGCCATCTACTATTCCAAAATCTTTTCTGGAAAAAATTCAGCATCATGTATTATAAACAACTTACGTGGTCCATCTCCCTTAAGACCTTGGATAATACCGGTATAAGCCTCCAAACAACTAGTACGCAAGGAATTGAGATATTCAACCATATCAGGATCCTCCTAAAATAGTAAAATGTATAATTCATTGGAAAGTAACAAACATATGATGGACATGAAAATATTCAGTAAATGTATTTAACAATTCAAATGGTGCATTCAATACACAGGTTAACGTTAAAAGGTATAATAATGAGTTTGTAAGCAATATATAACCAACATTAGGTTTGATAATTTCAGAGAAGCGAGTTACACGAGTTTGTGAAACGTCCCGACCGAAGCTGCTACCTTGACGCGGAGGTCGGGCTTGCCTATCGTGATGACCCAACCGAGCTATATTGGCTGGAACATATGTTCCTGTAGGTTCTACCATGCCAGACAGGTCGATTGGAGAACGGTAAGACTAAAAGCAGCAACTCAAGGTCTGAGGGCGAAGTCGTACTGCTGACTGTAGAGGGGTGTGACAGCAATAAGGTGTTTCCCTCAGACAACCAGCATCTGCAGCGATGCTGCCTTCCCACAAGGAGGGGTGGGGTTAGAAAAGGTCGACCCTAAAAATGTCACACCTCACCTTACCTCACGGATTTCCGTCTCCGGTGGTAAGGCCCTTAGAAGAACAGAGCTAACACATTAAAAACCTTCCACGAAAAGGCCGTGCGCGACCGGCCTCAAGCAGTTGTCCCTTGGGCTCTGCGGTCACGCTACTGTTCATTATGATCTGGCAAATATATAATTTTATTATTACCAAAAGGTATGTAATGCAATTTTCTGTTGGATTATTTAAATAGAATCTGAAAAACACATAAATACAGTAACAATTGATTGCACAATGATAGTGCCTTGCACAATGCATAAGAATGTATACTGAGCTTTGACCCATTGTGTAAACTAACGATACTAACAGGCTAACCGAACAGAAGTAAGCAAAGTGCGGTTCGCATTTGCGATCTAACAATTGAAAGTCAAGTTTCTTATAACCAGTCAGTCAGCCACAACGTAGGACTAGGCACATATATGCATCGGTTCAAGTTGTCATATTTCAATTAACACAACAAGATGAACACCAGATTCATAGTAGTTAATTCAATGGTGGTAATATATGAAAGAAAGATTGCATACAAAGATATCTTATAACCACAAAATCATTGGTATTAACTAATGATATATGCTTTTAAAACACAATAAGGCGACAACTACAAAATACATACTATTTAATAATAAATTAAGTACATAAACTTTCAAACAGAACATACCAAATTGACTTCAGCTTGTGTGGCTTGACTCAAAGTTTCTAAGACAATAGGAAGATATTTCCAGAACTCTGAACCCAAAGCCAAAGAGAGATCACCAAAAGTAGATAAAATAGCAGGACGAAGAGATTTGTGTGCATTTATATCCTACAGTGAAAAAATCATGCAAAATAAATATGTAAAATCTATATTGTAAAGCTTAATTACATAAGTATGATATAATAGGAAATGTAATAAACTCACTTGGTGTTGTTTTACTTGTATGTTCCCAGTGTTATTTAGGACTACAATTGATCAGTCTCTTGTTGGCATATGTGCATCCTGTGCGGATTGCCTCAATATAGCTTAAAGTCACAAGCTTTTTAAGCAAAAAAGTAAAACATCAAGTGAATTTAATCCTTATTCCATTGAGCAAGCAAATGGATATCAGGACTCAGTAGCTAAGTGGATAACGCGATGGCGTTTAAAGTGAACGATACTGGTTTCAAGTCTCAGAGTGGATATCAACTCCGTAAATGCAGGTACATCTAGTTGACGAGTCTCAAATAGGACAAAACACCAGTTCTGGATCCCACTACTAGTCACTATCCATCTTTGCTTAAAATGTAATATACATCAATTAAAACTATCAAACATATCATGAAACTATTTGACGATTTAATTGTCAACCGAATAACGTCATTTATGTAAAAAAAAATTGCATCGATAGTTTCTATTTTTTTAATTAGAAAAAGTATTTTGTCAACTACAAATAGTTTTAGTTCATACTGAAACTACATTAAATAATCTTAAATAATCAAACAGTATTTTTTCCCTGAATACTTAATACGGGGATAATATCATAAAAGAATAATGTTAAACTATGAGTGAAATATCAACAGTTGAGATCATGAGTCAATTGAAGCTAGATCACCATGGGAAACCTGGGAGCATTAGACGGTCGTTTCACCCTATTGTGAGACTCCTCAGTCTACCAACCAAAGGACATGTTTACTGCGCAGCAGTTCGTTCCGTCCTACTTTATGGCAGTCAAACATGGCCGGTAAGAGTAGAGGATATTCGTAGGTTACTAGTATTCGATCATAGGTGTCTTCGAAATATTGCTCGTATATCCTGGGACCATCGAGTAAGTAACGCAGCTGTTAGGAAACGGGTACTAGGTAAGGATGGCAAATCAATTGATGAAGTGGTGAAACTTCGTCAGTTGAGATGGCTGGGACACGTGTTACGTATGCCCAACGACCGACTACCTCGACGTGCTATGTTCAGTGGTATAAGAGTAGGTTGGAAGAAAGCTAGGGGCGGCCAAACCAAAACATGGCACAAATCCATGAAGTCACTGACAAGTGGACTGAGTCATGTTGGTAGGTGTAGACTATCTGGTTGGGGACCGCGAGATGATAGCAACCGATGGTTAGAGACCCTGAATAACATGGCTCAAAATCGTTTGCAATGGCGCAGGTGCATCCACTCTCTATGTTCTCCCAAATTCTAATCTTCTGAATTCTTCATGTCCCTTTTTTCCTCTTTCCAAATTTATTTCACTGGATTATACTCGTTAAATAACATCTCCAAACCCTAATCTTCCCGATTACCGCTTATACTCTTTCTACCTCTACCACTACGGGATTTGAATCGACCACTGCATCTCTGTGGTAATGTGGTATGGCAACTCGAACTGATGTACGTACGTACTAAGTTCTACGTTGTTACTGACTGACTGACTGACAGCAGTGCGCATCCACGAGTTACAAAGTAGGATGAAACGGCCGTCCAGTGTTTCCATGGTGGTCTAGCTTCAATTGACTCATGATCTCAACCATTAAAATCACTAAAATATTTACAAAACCCCTTCTGATATAAGTGAAATAATCAAACTGAATTGTTTAAAAAAGTTGACAATATTTAATAATAATTATTATTACTATTATTGATTGAAAATCCCGTGAGCACATACGCTACACTACATACTTTAATCCTATGATTTAAATTCATTGTAAAGTGAGAAGCAGCGATACATGTCAAGAGTAATAGTCAGGACAATGAAATTAATTCATTATTAAAACCACTTAACATACATACGTAACAGAAACTCATTACTATTATTATGAAACTTATATACGCCAGATTGGTTTGATAAGTTATCATATGATCCTGGAGTAGCAATAACAAAAGATTTTATTTTAAGTACATAAAATAAGGTAAATGTCACTAAAACATGCCCCACATAATAAAGCTAACATTATAACAGAGGAAGTACACCTACAGAGAATGAAGACAAAATAATAACCTGTAAGCATTCGACGGCCGTTTCGTTTTAGTATGGGACTCCTCATCAATATGCACCATCAATACGACACGCAGGACTCGAACACAGAACCTCTGGTTCCGTGCGCGAACGCTTCACCTTAATCAATCAATGGTGTTGCGCGTCCATCTTCAATTGTATTCAGTGGGTACCTGCCTTACATCCTACATTATTTACCTACACTGGTCACGGCTTCTCACTAGAACTCCGGAAACTTTCCCTTTGAAGCCAGTCACCAGTGAGTACATACTAGGATAAAACAGTCATCTAGTGCTTTCAGGTTTTTAATAGCAGTCTAATGTAGACCGGTTTATGATTTCAATGAAATTCAACGATTTGCACAACCCTATACTGAGAAAATAATAAACATAATTAACAGCAAGTGTATAATAGGACAGTCCAGTTGATACAAACGAGACAATTTTACATTTACGAAGAATGTAAGAGAAAAAAAACCCGCTGATTTCTGTTCCGAGCAATGTTGGATAAAGTTTGAAGCCACTGAACTATACTATCTCTCGGACTCCTACCAGAGAGCTGTGATGAACAGACAGATGCCAGTACTACACTGCTTTCTTGAATAACATGATAATATCACAAAATGACCACCTCTCCGATCTTTCCACTCTGTCCCAGTGTCAGCAATGAATGCCCGATATAAAGAAGTAGCTGGGATGATATTCGTAACACACGTACAAGCCAGTAAGGCGGTGTTTCAAGATAGTGACAAAAATTGTATTAACCACGCTGTGCCCGAACACACGTTGTCAAGCCTCAACATTACTAACATGGTGTTGTCACTGAATGTTAGCAATCCTTCGGAAACAACGATGATCAAACAAAGATTCGCTTAACGTCCTCAACTCAGAGGCCAGCTTTCACAAATATAGAGCTAGACATTTTCTTACCGACGCCCTGTAGATCTGACATTTTATAGCCAAACTAACATCATGAAGGCGCCAAACATGACTCAGATCGGCATAAGCCATTCTGACTTTTAATATAAGTGAGTTGATCACTCATGTAGCCACCAGGACTTACACAGCTACCCAAATACACGAACTTCTCGACCACTTCTATCTGCTCACTACTAAGTGTTTGTAGAGCAGGACATACGTAGAGCGCCAGTTTTATTGGTCGTTCGGTCAGAAGTGAAGATCAGACAACATAACACTGGTTAATGCTCATTAACCGTGTAAACAGCTCAGTTCTATATTAGATCGGTCACAACTTGAGTAACTGAATGATAACATTTTTAATTATGATACTTGTTGATGTCAGTTGGAACCTGTTTTTAAAAACTGATGACCCAATAAGCGAGTGTCAACTATCAAGAAACCCTGGTTTTCGAGTTTCTGATGATCGCCCCCGATCACAAAGACGATAAACTTGAGGTTTCATATAAGTGTTAATATGAATAGATGATCTTATCTTATTCGATGAAGAGAACTTCAGACAAATGGATATGAAATGTAACGACAAAGTAAGCATCCATGAATAGCCACCTGATATCAATATTTGACCCAACTATCATTATCATCACTTACAGTTCGTAAAACATTTCTGATAAATAAGAAAGTTAACCAACCTGTGGATTGGAAGAAGTATATAATATTATGTTTTGCAAAGGAATATACATCGTACATATACAAAACCCACTATCAAAAATGAAAGATTGGATTATTCTATATTTGACAGAAATCATAACGTACTTGTAAAATTTCCATCAGAATGGTGATAAGACCATCACAGTGTGGGAGTAAGTTCTTGTTCAAAACACGACACATATCCCCTAACAGTCCAACTGCATTCATACAAACTTGTGTTTCTCTATGATTTCGTAAACAAATTACCAAAATTGGCATGAAATCATTCACATATTTGACAAACGACTCTCCAACAGCTTCAACAAGCGCAGATACTGCAAGTAATGCATCTTCTTGCACACCATCACTGAATTTAGTTTTATCTGTTTCACCGTTGATCACAGATTGGTCACCAGAGCCTTCAGCAGCCGGTGTAGTAGTGGTTCGGAACATGGACATGAGGGCTAACATTACCTTGACAAAGAAATGTTTCAACAAGATTAGAGAATCCTCTTATACTTCTAAAGACTAAGCACCAGAAAACATGGCATAAACACAAATAATTCATAGTCATATGGATTAAGAGCTAGTTCTAGAGAAAAGTAATATTGAAATGGGAAAATCTCCACTTCACGTGTATTTTTATATCAGGGCACCTGGGTAGTATCACAGCCCACACACAAACCAAATGACTTGTGTGGCACATATATATTCGGTGTCCCTTTGTACCAATATTTATGTGTTCAAATAAATAAACAAATAACAGGGACCGAGAGGCGTATACTTTCTCTCAGAAATCCCTAAAGTGACAGGTCAAAAATGATCGTATTATTTATGCGAATGTATCCATGCTAAAACGTGCGGTATATCCTAACTTTTTACTATTTTGCATCTTTTTGAGATATTAACTTGTTAGTACCTTGAGAACTGTATTTTCTATGCGTAGTTTTCTTTTAATATCACTGATATTATTACATCAAACACTTTGATCTTCACTTCATAGAATTCCTTTAAGTATACACATCCTGGTTGTCTTTACCTAAAACTGGAGAATAATTCAACTACTCGACTGTAAGATATGTATGATGTAACAAAGTAAAAAAACAAAACATGCAGACTGGTGGGAACAATGAATGAAAACTTACTTTATCTGATATTACAGGTGCATCCTCTTTACTTATCTTTCTCAAAACAGATTGTAAAGTGCCGCATAAAAGTGACTGTAGATCGTTAAATTGTGCTCTATCTTGATGTGAAACAATTTGATGTTCCAAACCAATGATTGACTCTAGCCGTTCAAGAACAATCAGTGTTACACGTTGTACTTCACAATAACAATCTTGAGCTGCAGATCGCATAAGCGCCATCAAGGCTGAGTACGCTGCATTACGAAGATTATGCTGTCCACCATCTGGTCGACTAGAAGTTGCTAGTAGACGTTCTGTGATCACATTGAAGTATTGAGATAGTATATAGGTCCTCGGTTCCCCATTATGACCGGAATTTTCTGATAGAACCAAATGATGAGATAGTTAGGAAAAGATACTTAAAACTTGTTAGTTTAATCAAGCGTTTTGAAAATTCTGCTTTATCGAACTAATATTTTCCGGGAAGCTGGGTTATATGAGCGGCAACTATCTATTAATTACGGAATGAGGTTATCTGTAACATGCTTTACAAGTATTCGATGAATCAGATTACGTCATTCACAAAAAATTGCCTGTTTAAAATGAGTTGTCACTTTAAAGAAATCGGCAGTTGCACGAGACTTTTAGTTAACCTGTGTGTTTTGGTCAGTATTACTATCTGAAGACCCAATTAAAATCGAGCAAGGGTGATCTGAATCAGTGTTTAAACTACTGATTTACAATTTTCCCTTAATTAGCAAGACAAAAGTTAAGCAATTGGTCTACAAGGTTACATTTACCTACTGTTTCCAAGGTTGACTAGGAACATTAAAAATTTAAAGGTCTGATAGCCTTGTAAGTATTAAACATTGGAGATAGATGACCATTAATGAATAAAACGAGATATAAAATAATCGAACACTGGATTTACAAGAATGAGCGGGTATTTTGATAATATACAGGGAAATCTTGATATTCGATAAACTTCGACTGATCAAATGACATTTGTCAATTTGACATATGAAACGTGGAGCCTGGTACATATGTGAGTTAGTTGAAGTTCCCACACTATTTTAGTACAGCGAATATTCGAACACTTCAAGAAGTAAGTTCAGGTTTAAAACAGTATACTCAAATTTTTCGTGAGAACATGAGAAGCATTTCTGATAAAAACAAGCCTTAAACAATGAAATATAAGCATATACGCTATAATTGACACAAAACTTTCGTCTCTAGAACTAACAGTAAGATGGGAATTTTTGATTTTAAGAATCTGGATATCTGAAAATTTAATAAATCTCTCACGCAGTATTCCAAAGTCAATCCATGAAGTTTTGTACAGTACGTTCACGCCACAAACTGTGTGGATTATTTCTGAGCTAACTATTAAATTTACGAATGTGATTGCCATCTATTCCTCAAATAAAGTTATTATGAGTGTGGTTTTTGTAATTTGTTTTTACCATATGTTAACTGTGAATATCTATTTCGTCATTAATAAACGTAATTTATCCACAGAAAATACCACTAATTCAATATCATACAATATCGATAGAGAATAATCCGCTTATATTCGAATAATATCAACATTGTGAGTAAATTTAGAATATTACTATATCTCATTGTTACATGAGGATGATTTGAAACTAAGTTGATTAGAGTAAAAAAATTTCTACCTGAGGCGGCATCATAAGCACTTTCAGCCAGACTAGAAAATGCCCAACAAATGTTAGCAGCAACTCTTGGTTCACTGGACAATCCTTCAACTAATCCGGTCAACAAAGGAACCAAATATGCTTCGTGTAGAGCAACTTCTGGAAGGGTTTCACAAACACGTCCGATAGTCCATGCAACTGTATCGCGAACAGCTGGTGACTCGTCACGCAACAATTCGATTATTACAGGCATAGCAGACTCTACTAGGGGCTTAAAAAAACGAAAATCCCTGATCAACTATTGCCAAGGAAGTAAAATACATGTAACTTATTCTTAAGATGGGTATTTTTTATGTCGGCCATAAGTCACAGCCAACAGAAGTATAACATGTATAGAATGTAATCATAAACAAGATTGAAAAGTTTGTTTTCATTAATAGGAAGAAACAAGTACATATTAACTGACGTACATTTCATGCAAAGTTCTGAAAACTTGAGAAGTTACTGGATCCACATAACGAGGCAGCACATCATTTACACTGACGACAGAACTGACCACAATATCATAGCAGTTATGTTACGTGGTGAACTACATTATGTAGTTTTAGATCGGCGAAACACGCTGAAGCATGTTTACGCACTGTGTTTACCTTAGAAAACTCATTAGTGTCTGGCGACTCGACTTACCGTTACAAAACCAGCCCTGGAAATCAGGGAAAAAATAATTCTTCCAGGTGTAAAACACTTTGGAATTAATATCGCTTACTAACCAACGCAATCACTCCACTCTTACGCGAACCAAAAGATACAACAGCGAAAGACAAATTCAATAAGAACACGAACTATCGGTTAAACGACACGATATGCTAACATTGATATCAATGGGTACATACAACTATGGAGATGAACTTGACTCGGAGAACGCCGAAAATCTGGATCGTGCGAATTCTAAGCGTCAGTTTTTTGACACCATGACATTCCGATGAATTAGCAATTGGACATATCGATTCAAACATGATCATTCAAAAATGGCCAAGCGATAACTTGGTTAAAGGTTATTCGAACAAAATAGGCAACTTGAGTACAAAGACACCTGAAGACAATGAAGCACATGGGGATAACCAATCACAATTAAAGGCCATCAAAACAAAATAACTTAAGACTCGTTGAATAACTAAGAAACTCAGTTTTACTTGAAGTAGGCACTTACGGTGTTGTCCAGAATGACAACGAAAGTTCCGCAATTGAACCATCTAGTTTAAAGTACTTAACAACACCAAGAACACAAAGTGATTAGTGAAATCCTAATAGTTAGATTTTATGTATAAGTTGAATACGGAAATGTAACAAGTGAACAAGCTAAATGTTCAGTTACCCTATTTTGGATTTTATTGCCGAGGATGAGGAAAACAGAACATTGGCGCTATAATATGAGACAATCCGTCGTTTAAGGACATATCGCGGCGAGCTGAGAGGTGAAAAAACTTATCATTACTTTGCTAAAACGCTTAACCAACTTAAACTAGGTAATGACTACATTCGAGTTTTAATATAAAAGATTCGTACACAATGCTTTAAAAAATTGCAAGCAAACCAACTTAAATGACAAGACTATGACTAAAAAGAAATGAACCTTGAGTGCTGCAGGATCTGGACCTTCAAGAATACTGCCGAAGCTCATGACGGCAGCATCTCTGTAGCGCCAGTCAGGTTTCTTAATATTCTCCTTTACAAATGGTATGACAAGATTGACAATCGGATCTTCGCAACATTGTGCCAGTAGCATTAAACACACACCAGAGGCTTTACTTGGATTCCACTCGTCGTCATCCATTGATTCATCCTGCTGGGCAAGAATTTCCATCAGGATTGGTACAATAAATTGCAGGGCTCCCTTGGCATAAAACATGCTAGAAACCGCTGGAGGTTGACCTTTCTCAAAGCACTCGGCAACGTCAATAGCTAAGTCGATCTCTTCATCACAAACTGTAGACCAGAACTCGATTCCCTGAAGAGCGACTTCCGGTACAGAATCTTTCATAGCTCCCAACGTAATCTAACAATGTTGAAAACATTTTGGAAAAAGCTGATGAAATGATTGTTATGACAGTAGATACACCAAGTGAAATCAATTCGAAATTAAAACATGTAGAACCAAGCTAGAAATGGACCTAAAGTGGTATGTTCTAGACAACAAAACAAAACTACCACTAAAGTCCGTAAACATGTTTGAGAAACTAGGGGATGATAGCAACTTTGTTATCCAACCATATCCTGAACTCAAACGCATCACTAGGGCCTTGAAAATAAATACATTATGCTGACTGGACAGCAGTAGATAGTGAAGTTCCAACCTATTAAGTAGCAGTTACAAGATAAATCCTTATGCGTTTAATCCTTAACGAATCGCTGCATTTGAGTTGGAGTTTAAAATACATCTTAGATTCCAGTGCGTTTGAGAGTTTAATATTTAGGTGATAGGTTAACGGTCTTTAAGGTGAATAATTCCCGAAATCTAAATATTACTTTGGTAGATAAATTGTATATAGTAAATAGTAAATACTAGCTACGTCAGAAGACAGAGATTACGAACACAATTTTCGATGTACCAAGGAATAATATTTCTATTTCCGAAAGATAGAAATACAAAATCACTTTTGTTGCGATGACAGTATAGCTTTATCATCAGCCAACTTTAAGTACACAGAAACAATAATAAAACACGAGTTGAACCATAAATCTTAGTTTTATAATTATTCCAAAACTAATGGGACCGTGACTGAGTGGTTAAGATCTTTGACTTCTAACCAATAGGTCATGAATTTAAGCTTCGATCCATTTTTGCTTGGGCAACCAAGAAGTATCACTAGCTCTCAAACTACAGTTTAGAGCTAAGTATATGAGACTGCACTTGTTGGATCAACTATACGATGCGTGGAACTTTTTAACAGAATATGTAAATTTAATTTACGTGAAGTTCGTAGTAAGAAACCAAAGTCGTGAGAAGATACGCTAACAAGAGTAGATATTGATAGACGATAAGGTGATCATTCAATATAGCATCAGCACTGCAATGACTAAGACAGGTCTACCAACCGAGAAAAAAGTTGACTACGTGGATAAACATGGGCGATAGTAGGCTGCTTCTGTTGTTTATGCAATCTCAGAACACGTTTTTGACTTTAGAATTTGATATAGACTGTGGCTAGATGTGATCAAACGAAGACGGCTTGCATAAGTAAGAATTCAACTTTTATGTTCATTAGTTAAAAATATAGGGCATGGTTCTTAGTTAAGTTATAAACATTAACTTACGGCAAATAACGCTTGTTTCATATACGGCTCCATATAACTGTAGTAAAGGGACATTATTTTTACTAAACACTGAAGAGCTGCAACACGGATTTGAGGATTTGGCGACTGAGTTGATTCGCAAACAACTTGCATAATGTAGTTCCGCTCATTCTAAGATAAAATTAAATAATCAAGCACCAAATTACATCAACATCGAAATTGTGTTTTGTAAACTCCAAAGAATTAAGAAGTGCATTTGTCGCTGCTAAACGTACGCTATCACTGAAACAAGAGTTATGGAGCTCAAATTCACATACCTTGGTTCTTCTTTTTTCATACCGCAAACTATGGCAGTTAAAATAGCGTTTGACTGGCTAGCTAAAATACAAGGATCCTGTCGGAACTATACAAATGTACTGGTCTTACTATATCTTGGCAAATGTATCCTATTCCTTCTAATGTTGAACGCTTGCATGCTTCTGTTTTGTTTGGTGTGATCACGTTTTCCACCAATCGCTCCATCAGATCTGGCCACTGAAGTGCAGGAATTTCTGCACATGCAATGTAAGCCACACATTGTGCAGCAGAACTATGTGTCGTAGTTTCTGTTCCTAAGGCGGCAAGACACTGAAGGAAGGTCATAAATATTGTCGGGACGTACGTTTTTTTTAATATACTCCCGTGACTCCACTGGAGCCTGTAACCACCGTTGCTGATAAAGTGTTTTGAGCGCCGGGTCTTTGGAGTATAGGGCGTTTTTTAGCTGAATGCCAGCTTGCATACGTACAGGAGGAGAACACTCAACGTTAACCAAAACATCACTGAGTTGTCTGAGCAAACCAAAAAGGTCTACTTTGGCTGCTTCCTCGAGAAAGTGCTGAGCCGCTTCGAGCTCCGACTTTTCTAAGAGATTCAGAAAACAATAGCTTCCATTGTACGTCTAGTCTTACCTAAGGAAAGACTTTTTTCCAAAACGGAAAACAACCCAACGTCCAGAGACATATTAGGAGAAGAGCGTGTCCCCGAGATTTGAAAACCAGCCTCTCAAGTAGCCGCGCTATGTTCCGATTTTCCAATGTTAGGTCAATTCAAACGACTCCATAATGGAATAATATACTGGGAGGATAATGCAAAGTCAGACCCCAACGTTCCTAAGCAATAAAAGTGGACTACATCTGCCAGTATAATGACTTCAGGACGAAACCATATACCCAAGGAAGACCTCACTACATTTGATAATTATACTACACACTCATTAAGTTTTCTTATCTTAGACAGTTCAAGTGGTTGAACACAGCACAACAGGGCCTTAGTCCTATTGATTTTTGTACGTTTAACCGCAATTATTCTAAAGTGACACAAAGCAAAGACCTGGGTATGTGGACAAGTTGAAGTGAGTGGAATCTTAGCTAATGTGGATGAAATTCTATTTCGAGTCCTAGAAAATCTATCTTACTAAATCTTGGGGAGCGATTGAAATCTAACATGGAACACTTCAGCTTGTAAAGAACTTCTGGACTTCTGTGTTGTTACACTTAAATCTGCGATTCAGTCCTCAGTAGTAAGGATAGGCCAATCGGCCTATATTAATCCTTGAAATTTGTGGTACTGTAAAGACCCGATCTCCCTTTGAATATATCAACCGAAGCCTCTTATATTATGTATTCTGTTGGAAAATCTCATTATCTCACTACTCAATGCGAGGAATGGAAGTCCTAAAAGCCTTTGGTGCAGCAACCCTCTAATTACTCGTAGGTCCTAGGTCGTTGTTCAATTGGACTCCTAGATCCTTATTGTCCATTACTTTAGGTAACACTATCCCGCTAATTATGTAGCTATATGAATCGTCTTAGTTATTCGTATAACTACGCTTTTGTTAAAATAGGCTTCTAACGACCAATTGAATCTGCCGGAGCTATTAAAATCCTAGAATGAATAGTGTAAAGACCACTTGACTTATCTGGTTTAAGATGTCGAAGTAACCGCAGTGCAGCTCCTTTCTTAATAATCACAGGATCCATCAACAAGCCGCCGTTATCACGACTAATTGTTGGCGCTTCGCCACCGTCGATGGAAAACACCCTACTAAAATGTTCTGATAAGTCTCCGTCTTTTGTAATCATTTTTTGCCAATATCAACGAGTTGTCTTGCACCAGAAGTGGCGGGATTCCATCAGTTTTCTGAGTTTGTCTCTTCATATGCAAAAATAACCTTAACGGATGGCTTTTACAATTCCTAACCAATTGTTTCTCGGATAAATGCCCATCTTCTATGACAAACGCTCATGTTAGGTTAAATACATCACGATTTATTAACCACTATTCAAATAAACATTCACACCACTTCATAGTTGACATTTGGTTAATTGGTTTCGGAATTATTTCCTTGGAAGGGATTCGAATAAGTAAAGCTTCTAAACAGTACATGTCTATGAACGTCTTAAAGTTCATTATGAAATGGTCTTCGAGTCAAGACTTAACCGTTAAATGTGGACGTTTTTTGAAATTTTTATCAGAATACCTCTAAAAGTAGTTTATCTTTGTCATTTAAAGTGAAAAATGAAATCCCTTCACCTTTACATGAAGCTAAGTAGAACTATCGAAGTCAGAGGAAACGCCTTGCCATCAAACTGATCAAAATAGGTGTTTCAAGGTGACCAATGCAAGATTGTATCAGAAGGCATCTTTGTCGTGTTTATTGAGGGATTTAAGACTTAAGTGAACAAGCCAGCTTACTTTTTTCTACAAACCATACTTGATGTATCAGAACCAAGACTGAGGGACTGTTAATCCTGGGACGATTTTGTGGATCATTAGTACAATATTTAGTTGCTCATTTTATAATTAATAAACAATTGAGTTGCTTTGTTCTTATTTTCTGTTTGTTGTAAGGTTTCATTCGATTCAAAAATTAATGTTGTAGGTTCAGTTATTTATAGTTTATTGCCAGTCGTATATTTAAAGCTTTCCGAGTTCACAACCACTTTCGAATCTACTCGCGCATAACAATGTTTACATATGTCATCATGTGACACTTTATAGTATGCCTTTACACAAAGTACCTGTGCTTGAAAAAATGTAGCGGAAACGTGGCTGATGACTTCGTAACAACTTAAGGTGGTTGATTAATAATTGGCCGAAAGCATTATGGTAGTGTCGAAACATTGTAGCCCAAGTGTTTGTTAAATCCATCATTTTTCGTAGGCATTATATTTCTTGCCATCCGATATTAAATGTTGAAATTGTGTGGCCGAAAATAGAACCTCGTGCCCTAGCTGCTAAGTACTAAATTACACTCGCGAAATTCCAACGTTAACCAAATCACACCCTCAACATTCCAAAAGTGAACTAGCAGTAACCTATCGAATCAAAACTGAGGGGGCACATGTGATTTCTAGACTCAGTAAACTAGCACCAGATAGGCTTAAGTTGACAGAGCTGGACTCAACTATATCCCCAATTTGGATTTTGTCTGTCCCTCTACTAGCCAATGTGTACTCCCCCAAATACATGCTCTCAAAGAAAAAACTAAGGCAATTGACGACCGTGAGGGAATTAGAGGTCCTCTAACCACCAAGGTACCCAATACTTCATATCCAAGATTTTAAAACGGGCTACAGGGTGTTAACGTATTTACCAAAATTGGCCTGTTCGCGTCCATTTGCATGCCATTCAGCCTGAGGAATACGTTATAAACATCTCAAAGGTTTATGTACAACCTAATTCGCAATATGCCTTTCGCACAAGAGTGTATAGACGACTTGCAAATTACCATTCCGGATTTCAAATCACACGAAAAACACATGAGAGCAGCTAGATGAAAATGGAATGAATATATATCCCAGAAGAGACTACATAGATCAGAGACGAGGTAGACACCATTAGACAGTAACACATAATAATTTCTCCAACACAACCTTAAAGTTTTCTAGGTTTAGTTAACTCTTATCGTAGAATCATACTTAGTTGTACAAAACTAATGAGACCACTGGCAGATTCCCTTAAGGGAACACTGTAAGGTTTTAAACTGACTTCCAAGGCTGATGAAGCTATTAAAATACTAAAAGATGAAATTGCTCAATTATCTAAGTTAACGTATCCGAATTCTCATTACCCACTCGCTTTGATAGTAGATGCTTCAGAGAAGCAGTAGGTGGTATTGTTGTTCAACTGGTCGAAAACGACAGGTAACAGACTGGGTTCTTCTAAAAAAGACAAGCTGCATCATAGACTAGATATGCTACCTTCTGACGAGAAATTCTCTCAATCTACTTAATCGTTAGGTGTTGACGGCACATACTGGAAGGCAGGGATTTCATGGTTTACGCAGATCATAAACCACTAACCAATGCATTAAAATCTGAAGCCGACAAATATTCTCCTTTAGAGACCCGAATAAGATTAGCTGTCGATACTGTTTCACAGTGTTTTGCAGCAGAATTAGTCTTTGGAATGAAGTTATAAGATCCAAACTACGGTTTGGAGTGAAGGACAGCTGTCTGGATGAGTTAGATACGCGCCCTCGCCCGATTGAAACCAAAACAAAGTAATTGTGTAAGATAGCGGTTCTAAACAAATATAACCACTCAGCTATCCAACCAATAATTGTTCAATTGATCAAATCTAAACAATCACCACAAATAAATGTTATTGTATCCTGTCTGGATAGATCACGTACAGATTTGTTCAAAAGGTAATAATTGGTCGCTCTATAACACAGAATGTTTTCAATTCTGGAAGAGTGCTTCAATTCACGACCAAAATGCACAATTCCAGTCAACACAGGTCAAGCAATCAAAAGCAGGGACAAACCAAAATGGCTGCCGCCCAGACTTAGTATAAAGTAAAACAACATAAGTGCAGTTCGGGAAGAAACATGGGGAATTAGTGAAGGTGTAGTAAAAACGAAACTATAATAAAATACAAATACTAACAATTCAAATGTAGTCAAAAGTTAACAATGTACAACTAAGAGGATCAATAGGAACAAAGTGCAAGTATATACATGGAGGGATTTTCACAAACACACAAAGCACTCAAAATGGATCTTACAGACGTCAAGGTGATTTTATCAATCCTTGTATTGATGTTATAACTTGTGAAACTGTGTGCCCTGTTTATTGTATAACGCAACGATACCGTCAACCAGAGAGCAGCAAATTATCGATCGAACCAGTGACGCATAAAACACGTGAGAGCAGCCTAGAGTACTTATCGGTCTCGCTTCCTGTCTAGCACAGCCAGTTGAGTCCTGAACACAAATCTCAGTCCCTGCAATATGAATAATCTATTACAAACATACGGGGTTTATATTACCAATCAAGCAGACCACAACGTACCATAAAATAAAAAACAACATTTGTACAATATTTGGCCAAATGTGGCTGTGAACGAAGGAGGTAGTGATTAATAGACAGGCCATAACTCAAGAATGGTAAATCGTATAATAATAGTTCGTAGGTCAAAATAAAACTCATAATAAGGGGGACATGAATATGAATAGTTTACTTACATAACAATTACACGATAAAAACATACTCACAGTATTGGTCCATAAATGGATCCCAAAAATTACCATTCATTATTCTTATCGGGATATAACAATTGAATGTGAAAGGCTTGATTTAACAAGTTACGTGGACCAATTAAGTGATCGAATGTCATAACTTAGACCGGTTAGTACTCGTGAACGGTCACGAGTGACAAATGTACTCGTGGACATAGGCAATCGCATGCACATCTAGATAAGGTGTTACAACGTAAGAGCAACACTTGCCCCTCTATTTGGAGGTTCATATAAAGTCGTCCCAAGAAAATCTAAATATTTCGTGATCAAAAACAGAGAAACACTAACTCAGTAAGTATCGATTTGCCTAAACCATTTTATCTAGATAATGAACCATTGTATGCTTTATTAGGCCGTTTAAATTACGAAATAATTACAGAATTGACGAGCAGCAACAAGAACTCTTCACATTTGAACAAAACGTTTGGTTAGCAGAATCGATCATTCAGCTGAAGATATCTACAGTTCTAGCCAAATTCATAAA